CATTTTACCGAACAGAACAGATTAATGAGTCTGCGCAGTAAGGCATTATATAGGTATTTCCGTTTCCTTTTAGAATTGTGATGATCGGAAATTTTGCTGAATATCTTCAATTACAGCTTGAATATAAGTAGGAAACGCTGGCCGTAATGGAATTGGAGAGGTACAGTTTATAGGGTTTGATTACCAAAGAAGGGGTGCGTATTATGCGTGAGTAGAAGCATTTTGTCACACTTTCAACACAATTTTAGGGGTGCGTATTATATATGGGGAATTATTAATTATTATATAGTTATCATAAATATGGTTTTTCTCGGGCTGTGATGAATTTGTGGTGATTAGTCGTGTTTTCATGCTGAAATATGCTATTCAGTGACTAAAATTGGGCGGACTAGAAGGTGCAAAAAAAAGGAATTTTTTTTTTCCGATTTCTTCCTTCAAAATTTCCCGAGGGCAGTGTCTAATGTATCAGAACTTCTTATAAGAAGCGAAATACGTTAATTCTACATCTTACAAATTCCGACAAGAATGATGGATTATTTTTATTTTATTTTATTTTTTTAGGAATGTACAAATAATTTCAAATACATCATCTGTTTTACTCTTCTGCCCATAAAGACTTTTTAAATGTAAATAATAAATTTATTACTGATTGCCTTTTCAATAATTTACCCATTGCCTGTTGATTTCCATCCAGCAACGGAGCACCGAGTTTGAATTTCAGTCGGATTCTTTACATTCACTGACGCGCATCTCCTGCCGCCAGCTATGGATTAAATAGTAGGATTTGTATGTGGAAAAATCATTGCTATTCTCGAAAAATTGTTAATGTAATATTCACTAACTCAAACAGAGAATTCTTCTTATGTTGCCAAAAATGTTTCAGCTTTAAATAACTCACAAATGATTGATAAGCCGTAAAAAATCTACTGTTTCTCGATGAAGAATTTTAATAGATTGCATGGCTTAGGTTTTTTCACTCCTATGTGCAGTTTTATATTTATTTTTGATTGATTTCCAGCCAGCAAGGTTCTCCCTTTAGTTCACCACCATCCGTTCCTTCATTCCCCATATATATATATATATATATATATATATATATATATATATATATATATATGAGAAAAGTGAATATAAATATAAATAAATATATATATATGTATAATTATTTATATATTATATGCGCGGTACTTATATATATATATGTATGTATGTATGTATGTATATATATATATATATATATATATATATATATATATATATATATATATATATTATATATATATATTTAGTTTATGAAAAATTAGGTAATCCGTATGGGTAAACCTAAGGAGGATAAAATCCAGAGAGCTCAATGTAAATCCAGAACAAATAATTTAAATAAAAACAGACCACTTTCAGGTTCCATGTAATAAATTATTTCACCACAGCCCTTTTAAAGGAATGCGGATCATCAGACTTTACTTCCAAAACAAAAAATGAAAAGAAAATTTAAACATTTACGACGGGCCGTATTAAACATATGTAAATTAACGAAGTGGGGAAGTAAGGGGGGAGAGAGAAGACATGAGTGAGTTAGCAGGCATTGACACAATTAAACGGTTAACTTAACGGAAGTTATATATTCATATCGAAGGGGTAGAGGAGAAAAAACCCATAGAGAGAAAAAGAGAGAAGGAAGTTAAGAGAGATGTCACAAATTTTCTTTGTAAAAAAAGGCTAGAAACAGACGCTGTTATTTTTGCTTTACTTTGAACGTGTTATTTTGGGGGTTCATAAAGATTATAATGTTTGATATAAATTTAAATGTCTCTAGACTGTCTACAAATAATTTAATTTGATGTTTGTTAGTGATTTAATTTTTTTTTTAAATTTTGGGGATTTTCTATGAAATAGTCGATTAGAAAAATATTGATATAAAATACAAAATTTTATTTTAAAATATAAATTTACTTCTAGGGCTGTGGTGAAATAATTTATTACTTGGAACCTTAAAGTGGTCTGTTTTTTTTAAATATATATAAATATATATATAGATTGATAATATTAGTGGTCAATACACACACACACATATATATATATATATATATATATATATATATATATATATATATATATATATTCCCAAGAGGATAGAATCAATCCAGGTGGAACTCATCTATTTTTTCTTTTCCTCTCCGCTTCTATTTACTTTTTTTTTTCGCCGAGCCGATTTTACTTTATTTATTTCCATCCATTTTTTTGTTTCCCATTCTCTAGGGATATAAACATTTCTTGGAGCGCTGCCATTTTATCTGAAAACCACACTGAAACGATCTCGAGGAAGAAGAATCAAAGGAACACCATGCCGAAGCGGTCGTGACCTGGGATCAACAATGGCTACGTCTACTTATTTTCAATAGGATCCTCTCGTAATTACGGACAAGCTTCTTAATATCATTATTAAAGGAAGAGAGAAAATTAACATCTAGATACATGTTCATTTATTTCGAGTACTTTCGACATTAGCACAGTGTCATCATGTTTTTTTTTTTTGTTTTTTTTTCTAAGACAAAATTGTTGTGTTCATCTTAAAGTACTTTTTTTTACCTGTGAAGTGACAAACGCTAAGGTTATGTTCTGTGCGATTTAAATTTCACGATGTAAACGTTAGGGAGGTAATTATATATATATATATATATATATATATATATATATATATATATATATATATATATATATATATATAAATGTTATTTTTATATATATTACTTAAATGTTATTTTTAGCGTATACTCGCATTTGAGAAGACGATCCGTTTATTTATTAAGAGCAGTATTTCTTTAATTTTATCTACCGAAAATTCTTCTCGAATAACATTTTCTCGAATATTCAAGCCGGTAGACGATTTACTCAAATAGTCAAGCCGGTAGACGATTTACTCGAATATTCAGGCCTGTAGACAAAAATAAATAAATATACTGTTTCATAATTCCGTCTACCCAAATTCAGTATACACTAAAAAATAATGTTTGAGTAATACAAATCAGTCGGATTAATAAATAAAAATCACCTTTCCACACACACACACACATATATATATATATATATATATATATATATATATATATATATATATATATATATATATACAAACACAATTTACCCTATTTATTATATAAACATTGAGCTCTATGTGTGAATCAGTTTTAATATATTAGATTTAATATTTTATATTGTGTTAATACGATTCACTTGGTTTTTACCATCAGATTACTACCCATATATATATATATATATATATATATATATATATATATATATATATATATATATATATATATATATATGTATATATATATATATATATATATATATATATATATATATATATATATATATATATATATATATATATATATATATATATATATATATATATATATATATATATATATATATATATATATATATATATATATATATATATATATATATATATATATATAATATATATATATATATATATATATATATATATATATATATATATATATATATATATATATATATGTATGTATGTATTATTGTAAAAAATATAAAAACATTAAAACTTCATAGGTGAACGTTTAGTAACAGTTAGATGAGCCCTGTATGACTTTTGTCCCCAAAATATCTAGCCACTTAATGTAAACGGAAAAAAGAGCCTACCTAGGGAAATGGTGCGTTCATCCATTTCTAAAGTATTCTGTTCGAAACACTTTTCAAAAGAGTTTTCGGCTTCTCTTTTAGCAGACCGCCATCCAGTACCGTAATCATACTCACTGTATTTCTAATGGCGAATTTAGCTTTGTGGAAAGCCATAGAATCGCAGACAGCCAAATCTGTACTCAAGGGGTCTCAGACAACCCAGGGCGATGCGAATTTTCGCCAAATAAGACCTGCAGGAAATATGAAGACACTAATCGATCGTTTAATTTGAATGCGATGTTTACACACAGCCCAAATAGTGATTGAGTAACCCAACAGAACTTCATCGATTCCTATATGCTGACGACGATCTCTGGTAATAACAAATTACATCAAGACTGTGAAACAGGTTCTCGATATATTCCAAACTGTTGTCTGCTTTTAAAGCAAACCTCGTATTTATGTGTCATACAACAAGGATGAAGTGGTGAAAAAGCCTATATTTTCAATGGGAATTCGTTAGTGTAATAATTTGGTTCTACGTTTGTGACGAACTTTCAGAGACCAGGATTATAATTGTGGCATATTTCTGGGGAGATTTGCATATATTTGGTAAAATTCCACTGGAGTCTTTCAGTAAATCAATCTTATTCACCATATGAAAGGTTACATCGTGTCTACGTGAAAAATAATGACTTCTTGTTCAAAAATGAAGTGTCTACCTGTACAGGTGCCGATTATAATACTTTTTTTTTTAACCCAAAATCAAGATTCGACCTAAATAAAAGGTAATCTTAAAAGGTCGACCTATACAAGAGACAAAGGATAAATTAATGTTTTCTTGATCTTAAACCACGACTCGATCAATGGACGCGATTGACTATTGGACATCAGTGTTTATAGTAGGTCGACTTCCTTTCAAACATTTTTCATTTTCAGACGCCGGGGGTGTTAAAAGGTCCTCAAAGAAAATGCCGATGTTTGGTTGGTTAATAATATTTTAGGAAGTGGGTCGGGCTAAGAACTTTTCTACACTGCTCAAATCATTCCGCTTACTTTCCCGCCTTTTCCTCTTCTAATATTTTATTATTTGCCTCTCATTTTACTCTCTATCCCTCTAACACTTTCACATTCTCCATTATTCACCCCCTCTGTCTCTCTTTCTCTCAGTCCTTCTCATTCTCTCTCATTTTCTAACATCTTCGAGAATTCACTTTTCGTCTATTATATTGCTTCATATTCGCTCTTTCTTTCTTTTCTTTCTTATACTTTCGTTAATTTATTTGTATTTTTCTTTCTCTATTTCCAAGTTTCTTTCTTCATTTATTTCCGACATGTTGTCTGTCATTTTAGCTACTTCATTCAGAATTTCTTCTTTTCTCTTCTTTTCTTTTGAATTTATTTTCATTTCTTTCTTTTTTTTTTTTTTGTTTCTGACTTTGTTTTTAAATTTTTCCTTCTGTCTCTTTTTTCGATTTATTTTAATATTGACGATTTTTTTTCTTTTTTCTTCTAAACTTATTTGATTTTTATCGTTTATCTTTCCTTCATTCTTTCTTTCTTTCATTCATATTTATCTTTTTTCTTTTTTTCAAATTTATTTACTCTTAATCATCTTTATTTCTTCCTTTCGTTTAAACTTATTTCCGCTTCCTTTTTCTTTCTTTCTTTCTTTCTTTCTTTCTAAGACATTTACTATTGTTTCTTTCCCTCTCTCTTCCTATCTTTCGTTTGTCTTTCTTTCTTTCTTTCTTAAGTCATTTATTCATCGTTCTTTCATTTGTTTTTCTCTATCTCTCTCTTTCTATCTTTCGATTTTCTTTCTTCCTTAAGTCATTTCTTCCTTTCCTTGTTTTGTTTTTCCATTTTTCTTTCAAACTTATTTTCATTTCTTACTACATACTTTTATCTTTTTGACTTCTTTTCATTTTTTCCATTCTTTTTTCTTTTCTTTTTCTTTCATGTTCTCTTTTTTATTTATTCTTTCTTCCTTTCTGTCGTTTTTCTTTCTTTCTCATTTTCTTTAATTTCCCTTTCTTTATTTCTTTCTTTATTTTACATTTTCTTTCTTTCTTTTTCTTTCCTTCGGATTTTCTTTCTTTATTCTTTCTTTCCTTATTTCTTTCTCTCTCTCTCTTGTTTTCTCTTTCGCAAATACTTCGTATCACTTTAAACTACTCTCTCTCTCTCTCTCTCTCTCTAAATTCCGTCCACTTTTGCTTTCCTCTTTTCCTTTCGGGTTTAAACATTAAAAGATTCTCTCCACCCTTATCGCTACATTTTATCACTTTCTCTAACTCTCTCTCTCTTTCTTCTTAATCATTCCTAAGCCTCTCTCTCTCTCTCTCTCTCTCGCATCCTCTCTCTCCCCAATTACCGTCCTTTCAAAAAAAATCCTTTACAGCCAAGGAAACAAACCAAGAACGAAGCGTCCGAATATAAATAACCTTCCAAAGTTAAAAGTACCACGATAGTGTATTAGAGGCCAACGGACAGGAAAATATAAAAGCAAGTTGCCCCACACCCTATTCTTCAACTACCCCCGTTATTAGGCTGGTTTCCTACCTTCTGCTTTACGTCTCGAGTGGAGAGTACTTAACATACAGACTTCATGCTTGCTTGCCTTTATATCAGCATTAGCGCAAAATTTGGCTGTTGTTGTTATTGTTGTTGTTCGTCGATGTTGATTTTGCTAGAGCGGAAACATCCGAAATCGATTCGGCTATTTTCGGAGGCTGTCGAATTGAAGATCCGCTTTTTACACAAAAAGCTATTTTCTCTGTCCGTGAGCATGCCAAAATATTTCATTTATCCTCGATGTCTGTATTTTATTCATACTAGAGTATTACTTTGTTTTTAATGTTGTGAATAGGCGTTTGGCATTGTAATCAATATTAAGATAATATCACTTATCTACTTATTCTTCTATGTGCCGTGTCCCTTCAGGACGTGAGCGATATTGGCTCTCCACAACTTTCTATATCTTAGCAACATTTATCTTTTTAACTTTCTCCGTTGTTTTTACCTTTTTTTTAAGCGTTTCACCCCAAGCAAGGCAGGAAGCTACTAGCACGCAAGGGGTTACAGAGAGTTGGAGTGAGAGCAAAGAGGAGTGATAGAGGAAAGGATGAAGAGAAGGATAGGGGGATAGATCAAGGCCTCTGGAGACATCGATTGACATTACATTTGAATAGTTGGAGATTATAGCTATCAGGGAGGCAAAAAATGGGGAGGGAGTTCCACAGGCGAGAAGTGCGAGACATGAAGCTATTTGTGTAGAAGAGACGGCTATATTTAACAGTTTTGACAGTGAAAGTTTGAGAGCGAGATGCCAGCCTAGTTGAACGCTTAAATTCATGAAGTCTGGGAACCAGCGAAAGTAGCTCGTAGGAGCAGTTACCGTGAAAGTATTTGTAAGAAAGACAGAGGGAGGCAACGTCTGTGAGAGAGCGATTGCGACGAGATGCCAGATCAGGGCCAATTACACTGCATATCCGTCTTTGGATTTTATCAAGGACCTTGAGACAAACAGAAGGGGCTTCAGACCATATATGGCAGCAATACTCCATGCAAGGGCGAATGGTTGATTTATAGATTTGAAGGGTTGACTCCGGCGAGAGGTAGGTGGACTGCTGTTTACCCGTTTTACACTAAATATGTCTTTGAGTGTCAATTTTTTCAAGCCGGGTTTCTTCATATGTCCAGAAAATTTCGGCTATCTCTTTATGTTCTGTCTATAAGTGTCCTTTTTGCTTTCATTTTTCCGTATGACTTCTTCACTGCTTACGCTCTCTGTTCACAGCATTCTCAGCATCCTTCTGTAGAGCCATATTCTGAGTTGATATTAGTAAAGATAGCCTAATTAAAATCATACTTGTTGAATTGTCTGGGGTTTTTACGAAATGTATGATTGATTTGTTTGTTTAACGGCATATCAACTCATTCATGGGTCATTTAATGCCGAAATTTAATTTTCATGGGAGCATTGGAATAATAAATTTTATTCTGCTTTCACAATTGAAGACATGGTAGATGTTATTTAGCTTTTGTGTATATACATGTTGGATGATTTTGTTTAGCGACATAGCAAAACCTCTATGGGTTATTTAATGCCGAAATCTAAATATTTTGTACATAATTTTATACTTCCAGGGTAAGAAGTATAGCTCACAAAATGTATTGTTGGTAATTCCATTACAAAAAATGTATTGTTAGTAATGTTTTTAGAAAAAATGTATTACTTGTATCGTTATATTTTTTTAGTGCTGTATTTATTGACATTTTACTATAAAAATGACCTGTTGTTTTTTATTTTTAGAGGGTTCAATGTTTGCCTAAAACTGTGACCCTAACTGGTGTTACTACCACGGTTTAGAATGGACCCGAGGACAACAGCAGTTAAGAGGTGGTTCCACGCTCATCAAAACCTTCAATCGGATGTAGTTTATCGTAATACCCATGTTGATAAAAAAAATAATAACAAAATGTCGACTAATTTGTAACAAGTAAATATTTATTAAATTAAAATTAAATAAAGCAAATTTTAGCTTTTATATATTTAGAATAAGGGATTTGCATTTAGTGTAACAATTATCGGCGTCGATAGAATTTCAACTTCCGGTTTTGTAAACATGCAAGGTCAGGTATCCATTTTCGTGACAAAGGCCTTGCCCTCGGTTGTCACTAGGTTCAAAGGAGATAACACCCATACAGCAAAAAGTTACGGACATGAAAAAGAATTATCAAATTGTTATGATGTTAATTTGGGGTTAATAAAGACAAACGCCAAATAACATGTAACAATAAAATGGGGTTTATTCGGTTGGTAAGTTGGTACAGAAATCGCCTGAGTAGTCTATAACTAACTCAGCCCAAGAACTTCTCCGAAACTCTGTCTTTTGACATGCCACTATTTAACGTCCTTGTTTGTAGACGAGTTCATCTTCAAGAGGGGTGGTAGGTTCCTACACAACACAAATATATTTGGCGTGTTCTACAGAGCAAACCGAATAAGAAGAAATTGCACTACGATGATATAACGAAGCACTTTGTTCTTCAGTCAGATAAGTGCCACACATAATACACGCTTAGGCGATCATGTATCTTTCGATACATGACTGACGAGGCAGATTTTTTTTCCGCAGTAGTTTGTCAACCAAGGCTAAAGAAGACTGTCTGTCCTGCTATTCGCCCGAAACTTGAGGAGTGGGAAGAAGAAATGGATTCATACAATTCCCAATGATATTTACACGTAAGTGAATCTAACAAATTCAACTGATATTCGAACCCGGCTCTCCGAGTTGATATCCATTACACGACAAACGCACATTTGCTCTTACTGCTTTAATAAGGACGATTTCTTCTTGTATAGAAATTTCTGGAATGAAACTAAATTTAAACTATATGAAATCGGCTAAATTACATACACACAAACAGATGTAAAATAATTTAATTTTAAATCATCAGTGTTCCCTCTCCTTCGTGCGCATGCGTAATCGCATCAACGTCACTTTAGTCCAATGACGTCTTAAAGGACGAAACGAGCTGCACGAAAACTGTTTCCACTTAGTCAAAAATTTTCAAAAAATGTTCTTAATATATAAAAATTTATATATCGTATTCCCATAAAACACTCAAATGAAATAATAATTATAATACTTCTGGACACAGTAACAATTATCAATGCGGAAGAAGGAATCGACGATTGATTGAGTTGTTTTTTACCGTTTACCAAGCATTTGTGGGTTATTTAAAGCCGAAACACACTTTGAACTGCAAGAATAATTCTCTTTTTTGCGAGTGAATATTGTACAATATTTCTTTTTTGAGATTAACACTGTTTTTTTTTTTTTTTCAGATACAAGTCCAACTATTTAGCCCATAGCTTAGGGAAAGGGAAGGATTCATAACTTTCCCAAGGCGAATAAGTGAATGTAACTGGTTCGGCTGTTATTCGAACTCGGCTCTCAGATTTCTCATTCCGAACCGCTAGCCATTAAACGACCCGAACATACTGGAATCCACGAACCTAATCAAAATTCCGATGTTTTCTGTTCTTTCGCAAATATGCCTTTGGAAAATGATTAAATACGTCTCTTTTCTCCCACAGTACGCGTTAATGTGTAGGGTAGACTCAACTCTGTAGACTTAGAGTCTAAGAAAAAAACTACTCATAAGTCAAAATCAGAGAGAGAGGCAACGACTAAAATTGACATACATCAACTGTCAGAAGATTAATTTACATGTTAAAATCTACCGGCCAATAGACCAAAAGTTTCGATAAAGAATATATTCTCCCCGAATTTATTGTGAATTTGTTGCATTTGTTACTAATTTCTTCTACTCATCGTTTTCACCATTTCATATCTACGATTAATTTGTCCTCAGATCGTTTGTTACATCATCAGGCGTTTTCAAAACATTTCATATCTACGATTAGTTTGTCTGAAGAATTTTAACCTGATCATGCCAAATAACTCAAACATAAACTTTTTATATCTTCTCATTCATATATATATATATATATATTCGTTTGTTGCATAATTATCAGGCGTTTTAAAACAATATTTATGAAAAAAGAAACATAACAATTGAACAATAACATTTTTAAATGATTATTGACACGCATTTTTAAACTGAAAATAAACTAATATTTTTATTAAAAAAGTAAACAAATCAGCAATTTTTATTAACAAATAACTCGACTATAACAACGCCTGATAATTATCGCCAAACCAATATATATATATATATAAGTGCCTTTATGAGAACGAATTTAATAGGATTACAGCGATTTGTAAATACATTAATTTAAAAATAGTTAATCGATGCTTTAATAAATAGAGCCTTGTCCATTTAATTATTTTATTCGCAGTGTTACATTAGAACATAAGCACATACCCACTACAAAATTGACATTTTTCCGTTTCAACGTCAAAAACGAAAATTTTCTATAAAAACCTTTTTAGACGTTTCATCAAATTTGGAAATTAAAAATATAACATGTTTTATATATATATATATATATATATATATATATATAATGACTGCTCGTATTTGAGGATACGAGTATAGTAAGGCGGCTAACCAAACCCTATTGCAGACGCTTGCTAAGGTGCATTTGTGTTTATTCAACATCCACAGAGCCCACCTGTGTAAGCAGGCATTAGTTTCTGGGAAAGAGCGTGTTATCTAGCGTATTCAACAATTTGAACAAGGCCAGCACGCTCTATGACTTGTGACTTCGTGCTAGGTATCGACGCTAACCAAGTGTTCTGTCAACCCAATTTCACTCACATGGTATGGTTTTTAGGCATGAGGGGATCGACCCCTCCAGTCCAATAACATCAGGTGAGATTCGAACCCGGGTCTCATGGTCAGAATGCGAAACATTTATATATATATATATATATTAAAGAAAAACAGACCAC